TTTACAAGGGCTGAATAGGTAACCGTAATGATTTTGGCTCACAAGTACTTGTCCTTAAACTCAGTATAAATTATTGAAGTAAACTAGGTAATATAGTAATAGTGATTACCAAACTGCTCTAACAGGTCATGCACTTGAGAATAAATCAGTTAACTATGCCAGTAATCCTATAGGTAGTTCATAATGATTCTAAAACTTGGACTAACTAATATATCATATGTTTCAAGTGAAGTTAAATAGATTGATATATGAAACTTAAATTAGAGGGTTTATAAAACCTAGTAATAGGTAGACTACTTAAATTAGACACTCAAAAGACACAGGTATGGCTAAAATATACTCTTGTTAGAATGTACTTATCTGGGTCCTTCTTGAAAAGAGCACCACATGATTCTACAATCTAATAAAAGCGATAAGCCAAAGAGGCTAACCTTGACTACAAAAAAAAATTTTTTTAAAAAACCGCACCTGATTATTAAAACATATAAAAAGTTTTTTTTACAAGTTTTCAAATTTGACCCGGCCGGGTTATGAAAGCTAATGAATTAATTTTGCATAGGCTAATGCTAGTAGTGAAATTTTTAGCAAATTCTAAATTTTGATAGGTTAGATCAGGTGTAACGTAAAAAACATAATCAATAATTACTACTTAAACATGGGTCGTCATACTTATTCTCTTACTCATTTACGTCGTTGTCTTAATCGATTAAATGTATCTGAGAATCAGATTTCGAATACGTCTACGTTTTCAAAAAAACTTACTGCTACCGAAGATAACGTATTGATGCTCAACCGGTCCACCCAGGAAACTTTTTAAATTCTCAAAATTGATGAGATTAAGGGTGACAGTTTAGTTTCAAGTAATACAGTAAATATGATCTTTAATCAAGTTAAAAATTCCTGCAGACAAGATCAGTTGCGGAAAAATTTTTGGACACTATTCCGGACTAAACTCCGGACACATAATGCTACGCGTTGCCTAATGAGTGTCTTTTTGAATTCCACAAATTTTAGATAATTCCTAAATTAGGGATGTAAATATTACGTATATACTGTATATCTTTCACGTTGAAAGTCCTTTTTCATTTTAAACATGGCTTCGTACTCAAGGCCAATTATTGTTAAAGAGAAGTCACGCTCTTTTCCTTCAGCGTTGCTAGCCTTATATAATGAGCAATTGTACACTCACCCGCTGAGAACAAAAGCGATAACCGCTGGAATATTAACAGGCTTACAAGAATTCTTGGCACAAGAAATAAGTGGAACTAATAGTAAGAGAAAAGGAAAAGCAAAGGAAAATGACAAAATTACTTTATATGATATAATTGACGAGAAGGTTGTCAAAATGGCATTATATGGTAAGGTTTTCTTTATTCGCGTTGAATGCGTACTTACATTTAAATGCAAGTTCGTTAACCTTGCTAATTCCACTAGGTTTTTTCATTAGTGGACCACTTGGTCACGTTCTCTTTGAGATTTCAAATAAAATTTTTAAAAACCGCGCTGGTGGTGGAACCAAAATATTGCAAATTTTAGTGACTCTATTGATTATACTTCCAACTCAACATATTGGTATTTCACAGATAATCTTTATTTTGTTATATTAATTGTAAAAGAATTAGAATTATTTAAATTTATATGTACTGTATTCATTTTTTTTTCAGTTTATTTGGTGGCTATGGCAATCATTGCTGGTTTAAGAACCCCTGAACAAATTCAGGCATCAATAAAAAAGTCACTATGGCCTATGGTGAGAACGACTTGGATTGTGTTTCCCATTGTTCAGACTTTTGCACAAAAATTCTTGGAACCACATCTATGGGTACCATTCTTCAATTTGGTTGGGTAAGATAAATACACATATATATATATTATACTTTTATACTGTATATTGCTCATTGCATATTAATAATATAATCGTGTTAATTTTTCCATTAGATTCTCCCTTGGGTTACATGCTTCCACCCAAGCAAAGATTCGACAACGAAAACTTGCTGAAGATGACGATGATCAATGAAATTACATGAGAATGGTTAAAATACCACTCTAATTTTAATATAAATCAATTAACATTGTAATAGTTGTATATTATTAAACTAAAAAAACAAATTCAAAGAATTAAATTAATCTATATTTTTGCTTCTCTGTTATATACAATTGAATTTGCTTGAATATCATATAATTTTAAATAAGCAAATTGCATATATATATATATATATATAGCATACTATGCGAGCTGGATATTTATATGTAAGACAGAGACAAAAAAAGATATGAAAAAAATTGATTTTAACTAAAAAAGAAATAAAAAAAGGTCAGAGATTTGATTTTTTTTTTTAGTTAATAAATATTCCCTAATATTCCTTTTCTATCAGTGTACAGTGTATAAGTGTAATTTCTCTATTAATATATGTACATACTATTAGTTTATCAGTATTCGATCCCAATTTCCTTTTTTTTTTTTTTGGTTACAACTAAATATTACTCGTAAATATTACTCGTAAAAATATTACTTATAAATATTACTCGTAAATATTACTTATAATTATTACTCGTTCAAAAGGTGGAAGACGAGAATTATATATATTCATTATTCATGATAAAATTCAATTTGATTATTATTAAGTAAATGGAAGAAAAAGTAAACATACAATAATCAAATTATGTAATAGAACGAAGTCTATGATAGTAATAACTCTTTAATCTGACCAAGTTTATATAAAAAGTAAAGTGATAATATATATATATGTATATATATATATAGAATAAATAATATACTTACCAAATGTGCAACATAGTTAACCTCTTAAAGCCAAATTTTGCTCATTAAAAAGTCTAATATAGTATTTAAAAAAAGAAATTTTATATGGAAAGAAGTAATCTGCTTATCGAAGAATCTGATTAAAAAGGTTGACCATGTGTATTGTCCAATTTTTAAAAACCAATTAATAATAAATTGCGAATTTAGACATTTGCCGCAAATCCTCCTTCAACGCCTGGTTCAAGTACTGCGGCATGGCCAAGTACTAATGTGGCCGAGGCACCTATTTGTGAAAATACGTATCCCAGTTAAAATTGGGTAAATTCATTTTTTAAAAAATACTAATAATAATAACAAAAATATTATAATAATAGATACTACTTACCGACAATCCAAAATATGGTAGAACCGGCCGAAGATATCCACAAAAGTGGAATAGAAACACCAAATAATCCCATATATAAATGTTTTTGGGTGATAACATAATCATGAATGACTAACGGCTCATTTGGTGGTAGCTTACGAATATAATTTAAACCTCCAAGAAGGAAAACAATTGCTATAAGCAACCAGATATTTGCGATTCTATTGAAGACAAAAAAAAAAAACCAGATTATCGTATCGAAATTAGAACGAAAAGGATGATTGGGATTAATGTATAAAGCGTACACTTACAAGCAATAAATCAACAACCCTATAACAATTAAGATATAGTTCGATTGGAAGTAAGTTAAATTATAAGAAAGTCTTTGGGCAACGGCTAATAAAAAATGAATAAAGTTTAATGCGTTATTAAAAGGCACCAGCTGAAATCTATTAATATTGCTATAACACGATAAATTTTGCTTAATACGATGTACTTACCTCCCATATTAGCGGGTTTTGAGAGTCTGTCTCTATCAAAAAATTCATTCAAGGGTCGAATATTTCCTAGTCTTTCATTTTTAAAACGATTCAAAAGTGACAGACGTTCTTGAGAAATTGGAAGGCTATCAAGTCCAAGCCCCGCAAATGGCTGCGATGTTGATGTTGATGTTGACATAGTTGTAGACTTTATTTGCTTTCTTTAACGGCACAATTCTGCAATTATTTAGAAAGAAATGATAATACGTATTTATAGTAATGTAATATTTTTAATGACATTTTAAGCATAGTGAAATTCATAGTGTTATTAATGATTGGTTAAACAAATAAAGTAAAATCATTGGCTTAAAACACGTCAAATGTTGGTTTAAATCTTGATTCTAGGCCAAAAAAAAATTTCCGTTGTTTGAAATTGATTGAAATCAGAAAATAAACAAAATAAGCAAGTATGTTGAAAATTTTAACAAAGATTTTATTAAGGCCAATTACGAGTTCATTATTACTATCTCTATGTAACTTTACATGTAATTTGCGTAATCTGTGGTGCAAATCATGTAGACATTCAAAATTGTAACTTACTTGACGAGTATCCAGAATTTTGCATTGTTCTGTATTGTCTAAAATAAGACCTGTAAATAATGCATCTTTTCTTTTTATCGTTATGAATTTATTCTTATTGTAATTCGTTGAAAACAAGTTTTTCAAGACTAATAATTGGCAAGCCACTATTGGATTGGCCGGGCTTAATCGTCACTAGCGTTTATAGTTGTTATAAACAATGAAATATGTATAAATATGCGAGAAATTCATACATATTTCATTGTCCATATAAGTGATATTACAGTATTACTATATTAGTCAACGACTTGAGTTGAATAAAACGCTAATCGTCACACTGGGTTATCCTTTAACGTTTAGGTATTCTAATACATACATACATGCATGGCATTTGGATATATCGAACATATTTCCTTATTTTTTTGAGGTATCAATATAACCAGAATGACGTGTAGTTCGATAAAAGTCTTTGCTTGTTGAAAAATTAAACTTTAGTACGCACTATCCATATCTTGGTGCCGTCAATTAATTTACTCTAATTTTGTACATTCATTATTTTACAAACAAAATCAAAATTATTTGTATCGGTATAATTTTTATTTTTTTTGCAGCAAATCGAAAATAATCTAATGTAGATTAAAGCGTTTTTTTTCTTTTTCCTAATTTCTTTGGAAAAATAATATAAACTTGCTGTGGTATTCGATTAACGTTAAAACTAATTACAAAAAAATATATATAAAAATATATACAGTATATTTACAGTATATAGTTTGACTACGTCCTATTCATAACGTTCATTTATAGTCTTATATTCCTCCATCGTCTATCTACATTTAGAGACTTCCATACTTCGTAAACAACTGTTCTCGGCCCTCCTACAATATCAGATTTTTCACTTTCAAGCATTCTAGCTTTAAGACCACACAAAACTCTAAATGCGATTTTCCAACATCCTTCACTTTCTGGATTTTTTGTAAATGCTTGTATATATAATGCTGCAGCTTTTAATCTCAATTCAAATAAAGTAATATCATGATTTAGATCAGATCTATCAACATGTTTTAATATATCACTTTGGTAACATGATGCGGGTGGAAGATTTGTAAACTCTTCTGTATATTTAAAACTTACAGCTCTTATTCTTGCATTTTTTGAATGAACTGAATATGACGGAAGTGGTTCTTGGTTATTTGAATTTAAAAACAAAGGATCAACCTTTTTTTCATCTTCACCTAATATTCCTCTAACATCATAATTATATTTTCTAAGAATGGAATCAGTAACACTAATAATAAGTTCCAAATCTTTTTTATATCTATCATCATCCATGCTACTTGCTGTTGCATATTCGCGTAACCAGAATTGTTGAATATGGTGGTCAGGTGCATCAAGTTGAGCATTAGGAGCAACAGTAAATTCGGGTGAATTAACAAATGCTATTTCCTCTTGAACAGCTCGTTTAATGTCATCCATAATACATACACTTTTAAAATTAGAATCTGTTTTGTCTTTATCCATCCAGGGTGGTATTGGTATTTTAGAATATTTTTTATCAGCCACAAGCACAGAGCGTTTAAGGGTTTCCCCTTGTTTGGTTGCGTCTAATAATCTAGCAGCTACTTGTGCTAAATAAATAGATGTTGGATTAGATAAACCATGGTGAGATGAATATAACCTATGATAATAATCATATAACCCTCGGGGTGTTAAAAAATCTCTAAAATATTCATTAAGGAATAGTTCTTGAATTTTTTTGCCACAAAGTTCAATATTCTCTTTGACAGGAGCCAAATATTCAGACACTGTCTCTTTACATTTTTCAAAAGCATTTTCTACTTCAGGTAAAGTTTCGGCAACGGGTGAATTTTCGAATAATTCAGTTATACGTGGATCCCAACAACAAAATACTTTATCACCATCATAGTCACCACCACTTAATTTGGCAGCTAAAGGACCTTCTCTTGATTGAGCTTTTACAGGGAAAATTACAACATTATAATATTTACTTAATAATGGGTTATTGACAGCCCGAGCTTTTTGTATATCCGATGGGAGAACACACGGATTACGAGATAGTATCACGTCACCTTCAATTATTCCAAAACGCATTCCCCTTTCGTCATAACCAGCTTCACCATCTAATTGAATAAAAATTTCCCCTTGTTCTAAGGAGTTGGTTGGGTCGGCGACACATATGAGGGATCGTGATAATGGAGTTTCTATATGGAATCTGGAAGCCATACCCTTTAGTTGTCCTTTGAGTAAATGTTTTAACTTTTTTGCCAAAAAAGGACATGTCGAAGGGGTAAACCCAGCGTCAAGCATTTCTATACAAATTTCCGAAGGACTATCGGGAAAACCAGATAAAGAGACACCACCTAATCCAGAATTCGTGCTAACTTCACTTATATTACTACCATAATCATTTACATCCGAATCATTATTATTAATTCGTTCTTCAATACGTCTATGAAAAATATTTTCGGATTTCGCAATCCAAGCACGCAATACAGTTGGATCGTCTTGACCAACTACCATATCTCTAATTTTTTGTACATTTTCTTTTATCATATCAATAAAAACTTGAACCGGTACACCACCATTTTCTAATATTCTAATCAATTGAGCATTCAATGCAGCAGGACGATCCGGAGCTCTAATAATTCGAACGAGATCTAAAGTTCTAAGATGATGATTATTTTTTGTTAAATCTAATTTATATTTTGTTTGAGATTGACGTAAATCAATTCTAAGTTCATATGGATTTTTGACTTTAGGATCTAAAAACCAAATTCCTTTGGCACCACCTATTCTTGCTTGTATAAATAATGGTGTTTCTTTATAATCCATTATTTTTGCAATTTCACGCATTGCAGCTAATGATATTGCAGCACATCCATCCGTTAAACATTGACCTATGGTGTTTTCTACGTCTGGTTCATTATAACGAATTTGATTATGATCAAAAACAATTGCAGGATTGGAATCGGAAAATCCTAAGGAAACACGACTATAAAATTTAGCAATTGTCATGTTAAGATTACAATTTATCGGAACATCAGAATTAATTGCCTCCCAAATTTTTACAGGTTCGAGACCCGAACCATAAGTTGCAAAGTAGTATAAGGTTCCTTCTCTTGCGTACAAGAACTCATAAGTTCTCCCAGCTAATTCTAAAGGTTGTAATAAAAGATTTTTTAACATAGAAAATCTTCTATCATCTATTTTTTCTACATCAATTTCTTTATTGAGCTTTACGTGTAAAAATCTTTCCGAAGAAAGCATTCTATAATATCTTTTGGATTGACAAGATCTAGGAGGGTTGAGTTCCATTTCTAATTTTCCATTTCGCATTGTTACATCAGCAGAATAATAAATATGCTTTCGTTTTCCTACAGATTTATTTGTTTCAGAAATCTCCCAAATTAACTTATTGTATGGTATAAGTTTACATAGTTCTTGACCGTTATAATTCCTACAGGAATCCATTAAATATTCTTTGCATATTGATTCAAATGCGTCATAAAATTCAGAACCAGTTTTACGGTTCTTCAGTTTGTTTAAAACATTTATAGAATAATGCATCTTTCCGAATGGTTTGAATAACCTTACAAATTCATACCACACTAAAAAAGGTAAGTTCAATAGGAAACTTTCGTATTCGAATGGAATTTTTGTAGAACAATTTGTTGCGCCTTTTGGAACCCAAAAAATTGAATTGACATCGGTAGGACTATGATTAGTAGTAAGTTTGTTTGAGATAAAATTTATTGGGATCTCGACATTATTAGACAATACATCAACATTATTCCAATCTTCGCCAGCGGTTTCAGCCTCGAAAAGAGAAAACAACGTGTATTGTTGGTGAAGGTCCTGTTCAAAGTCCATTTGCAATTGTCGGAACATATTTTTATCGATTGATAGTCCAGAGGACAAAGATTTTTCGAAAAAATTATTTATTAAATCATCTAAGCATCTTACATCTTTGAATGCTAAGTCTTCCATGTAAAATTCATGAGAAGATGTAACGAATGGTTCACCCATTCGATATTTTGACATGAGATTCTCAATTGTCCGCTTTCTCTCATTTACCACCTCGTTAAATGAGTTTTTGCTACTTGAATTTACGCTTACTCCATTAGAGTTATATGAATATGAATTTTTGATATTGGGATTTACGCTAGCTGCGTTAGAGTTATATTTAGAGTTATATGAATTTTTAGGATTTACGCTAGCTGCGTTAGAGTTATATTTAGAGTTATATGAATTTTTGGGATTTACACTATGGTTTGTATTCAAATAAATGGACATGGTGATTGTAATTATGGAATTGTTAAATAATTTAAGTTCTCATAACCTGGCCGGCCAAAATTTTTCTACCTTTAATTATTATCCGGGAGGTTTATTATTATCTGTAAGGTTTTTTTTTTTTTTCTTTTAAGAAAAAGCTGAAAAGTCAGAGAATTCGACTTGCAAATTTTTGAATGCATGATTATAATACTTTATATATAATATTAACTTTCTTTTAAAATGTTAATTATACTAATTTTGGAATAGTGCAGCGATAACTTTTTAGTTGCTTTCTTTACACTAAAACCTGATACGTAAAACGTTGTCAACAATGTAAAAGTCTTAACCTAATTATACGTATTGGGTGAAAAAATAACAGATCACCTAAAGATAAAACTACAATGCTGTAATGTACTTGACCGCTTTTAAATACTTATACATATGCCTTTTATAATGTCTTTGTCTTCTAACCGGAATTGTCGAGTTTTTTTTTTTTTTTTTTTTAAAAAAAAAAAACAAAATTTCCGATATATGTATTATTATATTGTATTGATGATTTACCCATACCGGTTTCATACCATTTATCCCACGTTTCACTATGATCGTATCATGGAAACTTTGAATATTTGTTAATATTTTTCGACCTACATGTGCATAACAGATAAGTATGTTAAAAAAAAAGTTTTTTTTTTGTAGACATGCGTCAATGACTTACAAGTTTATAAATATGCGTCAATAACTAACAAGTAAGGTATATTATGGATACAGTCGCCACAAAAAAACGTAACGCCAGACTTACATATCTGGAGGAAAAAATTTTTTTCAATAACTTATGATCTTTCGTACGTACCATAAATTAACTACATAAGTTACTCATCTAGTGAATTGATATGAAGATTAACATGAATGAATTGACATGAACGAATTTTATATCGATAGATGAGGGCACTAAAAACAAACATATGCGACGCCACTACTTACGTGTGTATTACAAATCCCCAATATAGGGGTCTCCCAAAGCCGTTCGTAATCATTTGAATTTTTTTTTTTTTAATTTATCCATTAGTAATTTTTAACGATCAGTTTTTAAACTCTAATGAAAAGAAATTAACAATTAAATCGACATAAAATTCAACGTTCAAGAATATGTAGAAAACTAAAGTGCAAAAAATACAAGTGTAAAAAAATCACTAATAAAATTAATACGACTTATATCTCTATATAACATTCCAACCTTGTATATTTTTTACGTATATCTTTTTCACACGTTCTGTAATACGCGTTTCAAATAAGTAAATTCTTGATAATCTAACTATATGCATCTATATCTTTCAATAATATCATTCAATAGCCCAATGATTTAAATAATCCAATTACGATTAGCCTCAGTACCAGAAATGTAGTAAGAGAAAAGGAACCCGTCGTATAAATGCTATGTATCGAACGAAAACGTACGTATGCACGTACAGTACGTACGTATTAATTTTTTTTATAATCATTTTCGTATGAAATCCCATGATAAAGTATGACTAAATGTATTAAATCATATTTGGTCAGAAAAATGAAGTAATAAAGTGTAAACTCTATATAAGATTCGGCGTATAATCAGACGTTACGTGTTCTTATAATTCTGTACTTGTATAAAAAAAGTATTATAAGTAATCGGTGTTCGAAAAATTTATAGATCTGCATACAAAATGTCGCTGCCAACGAAAATAAATATTTAACAAATAATACTGTAAAATTATATTAATTTATCACATATATATTTGTATTCGCAAAGTTACTAAGTACATATATCTACTAGCATTTGAAATAATTTTACGTACGTACAAGAATATATCTTTAAATAAACTTAACCAAAAATTATACAGTAAATGATTTTCATGCACTAATAATTTATAATACAAATAGAAAAAAGCAAATACAGTCATCCTCACCGTAATCACCTGAAAAAATGTGGTTATGCTTATAGAGAAATAATTTTTTTATATTTTATATAATTAATATGTAATAATGTAATGATAACCAGGATGTGATTATAGCAAGAGGTGACTGTATTAGTTGATTATGAAAATACTACGTATAAATTATTATAATAATATGAGTTATAATAATGCTATATGGGTCCGTATTATTTCACCGACAATCATTTCACCGACAGCTCATTTAGCCGACATCACTCCAGGTGAAATTTAGT